TACAGGGTGTTCGGCCACCCCTGGGAAAAATTTTAATGGGACATTCTAGGAGCCAAAATAAGACGAAAATCAAGAATACCACTTTGTTGATTGAAGCTTCGTTATTAACAAAATTATTAATAAAATTTGACCGCCTACACGAATTTTTTTCTCGAAAGTGAGTAGGATTTCGGGGTTATGTCTATTGATAAAAAATGATTGCAATTGACCGCTTCAACCGAAAATAATTTTTCCAGAACGATTTGAAATTTTTTTTTCGCCGAAAAGGCACCTACCCCCTGTTGATTTTTCTTACAAATTCGTTTTTGATTTTTAATAAATTTGTTTGGCGCTGTATAGAAAAATTGTCTAATATTTTTTTATAGGTACCCATGAGCACTACTTCAGAAAAAAATTTCATTGGAATAGATTCACTATTGTAGGAGTTATGGCTGTTTTCTCGAAAGTGCGTAAGATTTCGGATATATGTCTATTCACTAAAAATGATTGCAATTGACCGCTTCAACCGAAAATAAGTTTTCCAGAACGATTTGAAATTTTTTTTTTCGCCGAAAAATTTTCCACTTATTGTTAGTATGGAACTTTAAACGTTAATAATTGTTTAATGAAGCCTCCATCAACAAATTGGTATTCTTGATTTTCATCTTATTTTGGCCTCTAGAATCTCCCATTAAAATTTTTCCTGGGGTGGCCAAACACCCTGTATATGATATAATATACTATAACTACTGTAAGTTAATAGAATTGCTTTAGAATTTATATAAAATATAGACGTTTATGCCCTCCTTCCTTGTATGTATAATAAAATACATGATTTACGGAGAAAGATAGGGAAAAAACTGTAATAGTCTACAATATTATAATATGTGTGTGCATGTGTGTATTATACTATAAAATATAATATAGACTATGGAAAATATGTGTAACATATACATCGTTACATAAACATTTATCAGGAGATTTTTAACGCGTGTTTGCTCATCGAGCGCGCCGAAATTGCGTCCGTTTGTTTCGCCGAATTACGCATAAAGTTTCGCCAGGCCCTGCCATAACGCGTTTCCCTCGATTTAAAAATCCTTCAGCGGCGAAGGAAATTGAGGAAACGGATAATTTGCTCGCAACGTTTGCCCGCGTGCGAATCGAGAAAACCGGTTCTCCGGTTAGGCGTGCACGATACATCACAATTGTTTTGTTAAAATAGTTGTAAAATGTGCATCTGTCTATCGAAGCGTTCAAAAAATCGAGTCTCCGTTCGGATGAACCGGTTCCCAATACAGATCGTTAAATTCTAATTAACTAGAGATCGAGTTTTCTTCTTTTTCTTTTTTCTTAAACATTGCTCTTACGTGCTCCGGCGCAGTTACGTTTATGCGAACGCGTGATCGAACTGGTTTCGGTGATCTAAAATCTCGGAATAAAAGCAAAACAAGATCAGTTTGTGTTTGCTTTTAGTTTATTATGTCCAATTTATTTTCATCGCTAATTATTAGTTCCTTCGATTATAATTTCTAGCTTGTAACTGAAAATATTAAATTATCGTTTTCTAATTTATTAATAAGGGTTTCAAACCATTTTTCTGAGTATTCTTCTTATCATTATCATTTCTTAAAGTATATTTGTGCGCTTGATAAAATTCAATTCGAAACGTACGTTTTTTTTCAGCCTGACAAGCAAATTATAGTATAAACAATACTATTAATATTATAAACAATATCATTAACATTTCTACAATTATATTTTCAGAGTAATTTATTTTCCAATTCGTTTACCTACTATTTTTCTGCGTTATATCATTTTTATATAACAAATTGTTTAATTATATTTTTGTACACCAAACGTTTGTTAAATTCTAAAGAGATATTTTCTCAGACTGGCAAGCAAATTATAGTATAAACAATAATAAATATATTAAGAACAATCTCAACGGCTATTATTAAAATTTGTACAATCGTAAAACCTGATTTTCAAAGCCGCGAGAATCGGTCCTTAAATTATGCAAATACCCCATGGTAGACGTGAATCGATCAGATAAAACTTTTTTTTTCTCGAGGCAACTATTCTGACATTGGTGGTAGCATTAGGTAAACGAAGTGACACGATCTTGATTAAAACGCCATTCAACGGAATTCCGATTACTATCGTCGGTTCGTGGACGTTTTCGCAGTCGTTTTTAATAATATGTTCACTGTACGTTTGGCGCAATTGAAAGAGCCAATGTAAATTTTGTATGACAGAACTTTTTTACTATGCAAAAAAAAAGAAAATTCTTCAGTTGAAATGTTAAAGAATATGAAGTTTAGGTATTAGTAAAATTAAATTACACACAGATGTTTTATTACAATTTAAATCAGTTGCAACTGGAAATTGGTGATGAATTTTCAATTGTCAATTGTAATTAGTAATTGATGATTGCAAGTAAAGGGAAAACTACTATGAATGGGACATAAAAAATTATGAATCTCCTTATAATGAAATTAGCAATGTCAGGTAATTGATTTCTTTCATGCTTCAAAGTAATATTTTCCCTCTCTTCGTAGAATGTTGTATGAAGTGCTGTTAATTCTGATTCAGTTTTTATTTATTGCATTCGATCAGATGTTTCTTCAAGAACATTGGCATATAACATGAGATATTTTTTTTATCATAGTAATTAAATAAATTAAATTTCTAATGTTGTTGCCTTTATGAATAGGACAACACAGAATATTTATGGATGGGATATCTATTAATGTCATGTGAAACGTTATAAAGTCTGAGTCAGATGAGAAAGCAATTACATTAAATTCCCAACACTGTGCTCTAACATCTTTTACAAAATCGTTTCTTAATTAGAAACAAAAAATTGTAGAAATTATTTATGAAAATTTCCAATTCAAACAGTAAACTAGTCTATAAATATTGTAAAATAAACAATTTGCCTGAACAATACGGAAAGAAATATTCTAGGAATTATTCATAAAAATTTACAATTTAGACAAACTGTAAAGTAAATGACAAAAAAGGCAAGATAAACATTTTTTCTAAACAACAAATCACTATCTACCAAACCCACGAAAAAAGTATAAAATTGCTTGCTAAACTTCCAAAGATCTCTAAATAAATAAATAAATAAATAGATACCCGGCTAGAGAAAACGAAGATGAATCGATTATGGTTTGTCTAGACGAAAGTAAAACTATTTTCTAATGCAGGTACGTTTCGTTCCCTGCAGGTTTGACGAGCAAGTCTACTCACCTGTCACTAACTATAGTTCCAAAGTGAAAACAAATACCCCCTCGATGTACCTGTCCCCCAGGAGGGCAACGGTACCCCACGAATTTGCTCCGACCTTCGCAACCTCCCGTTCAGAACGGTCGACCCTAAACTGTGCAACCACTTGCTCGATTTTAAAAATCTTCTTCTCTAACCCTCGAAAATAATTTCCACCAGCCAACAAATCTACTGTTACCCAAACAATTTAAATTTAAAAATGTTTCTTACATCAAATGTCTCTATAGGAACAATTTCTTTACCTTTGGCCAATAATAACGATTATCTACCAAAGAAAAATATTGCTTCAATATGATACTAATTCAATTTACGCTCTTAATTCGTTTTTAGTGATATAGAATATCTTTTATTAACAAAAATTATTAAACATTACCAACAAATACCAATTAAATTTACTCTGGGAATGAAGTTATAAATATTAAACTATATGATGAATGAAATCGATTTAAAAATAGAAACCAGAGTAAATGGAACTGAATGTTATCTTGAAATTGATTTATAATTTAGAAAAATATAATTTTAGCTAATCGTAAAAGAAAGATATATTAATTTGGAGCTGTACAGAAACAAATGAAATGTTCAATTTAGAAACAATGAAACATTGAATATTAGAATATAAGAAATACATATATCTGGTAGAGTTTGTATACAAAATGTAATTAAAAAGACTGGTAATGACATGATGTCGATTTGGGCTTTTTATTTTTTTTCGTTTTGTAGCGATTAGAAAGTATATGTTTAAACGCGTGGGGGATGGTGTAACGAATATTAGATTCTAGTTTATTAAATTTTTAACTAAAATATAAACAGTTTTAAAACATAAGTAGCATTTGGAAGTTAAACTTTCGATACTTTATCTTTTGTTTTTATCTTTTTGTCATCTAAAAATCCTAATCAAGACGATAAAAACTCGTTTTCTGAGGATGCTTTTTTAAAGACAATTGGCCTATTACATCTCAAGGCACCATATCAAACAATATTTCGTACAAAATGTATAGTAAATCTATTCAAACGTTCTCAATTCATAACTTTTCTATTTTTCACAAATCCAATTAAATGACCCCATAGAAACCCCAATTACCTAAAAATCCGCTTGAAATTCATCCTTGCTCGACAATTTTCAATAAAAAATGACTGCGTTTCCCCAACAAAAAAAACTCTCGAATTCTCCAAAGTTCTTCGCTCGACGATTTCATCTCCGCTGGAACACGTTCGAACCTGTCGCGACAGGTCCAATAGCTCCCCTAAACGTACCCTAAAATTCCATCCCGTTGGTCAGAGAATACTCCCCCGGAGATAGTTCTCTCTGAAAAAGAAAAAAAAACAAACGAAACCAAGGGTCTTTGAAGGGAAATCGGTGAAAGGAAAGGAAGGGCGGAGGGCGGAGGTAGGTGGAGGTCGGGGTTAGGTCCGGATTAGCTTCGCGGGGGTGGGGGAAAAGCGGCAGATGGTCGGCGTTTCGGGATTCGACGTGGGAAGCTCCGAATTCTGCGAGTTCCCACAGCCGCATTGCACCTGTCCCCCCACTCCTCGGGCCCGTACTGCCCGCCCGGTCCTATAAAAGGCACAGGGCAACTCCAGGAGAATCATTCGCTCACCAGAGCTCAGTTCGAAACCATTCAAGCTCCCGAAATTTCCCAATTTTCTACCTCGAAAACTCGAGTCTCGATCATCATCGGTGATCAGCGCAGAAACGTCTGTAAACCGGTTCAGTGCGCGCAGTAGCCAAGATGGCCACCACCGGACCCAACCACGTGTTCGATCGGGAGAACGAGCTGAACGACAACCTTTACAACTTGAAAATGTCCGCAAAAAATCATAGTCTGAGACTTAGGCGAGCCCTGAAGCCGATTATGCGACTTCTCCGAAAGAAAACCAATAAAAACAAGGCGGACAAGGAGAAGAAGACCGGCTTTCATGCGGAAGTGTTCACGGAGGAGGTGGACAATCAGAATAATGCCAACGAAAGTTTAGAAAGGAGACTTTTGGCGGATTTGGAGGACGCCGAGGAGGGAGCTGCCATCACTGTGTGTTTAGACGGTCAGATGACCGTCGTGCCGGTTGTGCCTGGTCAGTGCTACGTGCCCGTCCACTTTGCGCACACCCACGCCGGGGATTTCTACTGGACGGTCTTGAACATGGCCGATAGTGATTTGTGCTACAAGGAACGAGCTTACTCGCAACACCAGACCCCGGAGATGCAGGTTGCGTGAAATGTATCGATCGTTTGATGCTCGATTCGATCGAGACACGATCGAGAATCGATGGCTTCGAGTCGATTCGATCGAGGAGGAGTCGATGCGATCGTCAATGGGACAACCTGAACACCCTTGCAGAGGACGAAGAGTGTTTTAAAACTGTGATACATAGACTTTAAGTTTGTGGGAAACTGTGGGAGATCGTGCGAGGCTTTAAGATTGTAAAAATTGTGGGAATGTCGGAGATTTTAAGATTGTAAAGATTGTGAGAGATTGTAGGAGTATTTAAGTAAAAGAGATTGTAAAAGTTGTCGGAGAATTTAAGGTTGTAAGAGATTGTAAGGATTGTAGGAGAATTTCAAATTGCGGGAGAATTTACGATTGTAAAGATTGTGGGATAAGTTTTTTTTTTATAATTATGACGTTGACCTGAGATTGTGATATTTGTACCTTTTAGACTAGTTTATAAGATGTACGTTTGTGATATTGGCTTTAATTTTCGACGATTTAAGTCGATTATCCTTGTCTTCCGATTTACTTGAGAAATAAATGTAATTATAAGCATATCTATTTTACTGTGTAATTATTTACTAGTTGTTAAGTTCTTTGGGCATGACTTGGGGAAGGATAATTGTTTTAATAGCTTCGAATTCGTAATCGATTTGCAGGACAGAAATTTATAAATTGTTCGAAAATAGATCGATTCACCTGCAAACTTCGGGAATTATTAGTTTTTCGTGACATAAATAGTATTTTGAAGCGGTCATGCATGAAAATGAAACATTTATTAAGATAATTAACTTTTTAAACCTAGTTGACGTGGGACAAAATAATTGACTATCTTAAAATCGAAATTGCATTATAAAATAATTATAAATTACTTGAGGAAAAATCGATTCACCTGTAAGCTGGAAAAATTTTTATTTATTTGTGATTCAGACAGTATTTTTAAACGCCTGTTTTTGAAAATGGTCCATTCGTTAAGAAAATAAGCCTTCAATTCCAGTTGAATTAAAACGAAATTTTCAACTCATGATTACATTAAAAATTATTTATAAATTGTTTGAGAAAAGATTTGCCGTCAGAAAATTTGTTGGTTTCATGGTGGATTCACCTGTAAGTTTGAGGAATTGCTATAATATTTCTGGACAATTCAAAACAGTATCTTCGACCGTCCAGGACTCTGAGAAGGTCCATTCATACCTGAAACTGGTTTCTGAGTGTCTTACATTTCTCGAATTGGAAAAGTTTTGATAACAAGCACTACAGAATGATAGAGAAACATCAGACAACACTTTTCCATCGTTCAAACTTTTCTACAAGCGTTCACTGAGATCTACAAAATTATACTCTTTTGTTATTATTAATATATTTGTAAATCGTATAAATTACTTTCGATTTTATCAATTACTTGTCTTAATTTTTTTTGTAGTTTTTTTTTTATGAAAAATGACTTCTTTCATCGAAGAGTACGATATAAATATTGCTACATTTGCATAAATTAAATATTGACAAGGAACCTTTTTTTCTCGTACTATTTAATGCTTGCGTCCAATTACCTGTTTTTTAACGCGACTCTTCGAAACTGGTTTCTTACATAATATTAATTTACTTCTTGTTTCTTAAATTCGTCACGATCTCCGCGAATAAATATTCTTTATTTTGTTAAAATCGTCACAAGTCTCTGCCAAAAATGACATTTATGGAATTCTATGGCGAAACATTATTGTACAAAATATTATATAAAAACAACGATGAGTTTACTAGTTTCTTTAGAGTTGGCCGTTATTATACCAATTTTTAACAGAAAATTTGCTCTTTGAAGCATTGGGGGAAGCATTGGACATCCTGTCGACATTCGTCAATAGCGGATAGTTGAATGGAAATAAAATGTGGTTAACCCTATCGGTGAGTCGGTCACAAATTATTCACCCCAGCTTATTATTCTTCTATTATTTGAAGCACACTGCATTCTTGTTATTTAGAGTTGTAGGGTCGGCTACTCCTCCTCTAATCTATGGGAAATCATGTGAATTCACGCACCACATGTGGGACACGTGTGCACCTAACACAATCTGTTCTTTCACGAAACGAGTTTTTGTAACACGATATATATTTTCTAAATTAATTTATATTCGTCCTTTTTTCATAATATTAATTTATAAACAATAAAAAATAAGCTTAGTTACGAATAATTTCAATATAGAAATCAAGACGAATAGTAATAAGAAATTGACAAAGTAAGGTAGTGTGACCGTAGTTTCTAAATCAATTCGTTCTTTAATTTAACAATAGAAAATAAACTTAATTTCGAATGATTTAAATATACAAATTAGTATAAATTAGTATAAATAAATAAAGGAAGACAATAAATTCCTTGTAATTTGATAATTACTAATAAATTATTTCTCATTTCAAGGCGACCTTAAAAATTTGCGGACAAAATGCAGTTAACAGAAAATTTAGTATAGTCAGTTTAATATTTAGCTCTTTCTGAACAGTGCTATCTAGACAGAAAACTTTTTAAACGGTCCACTAGTAGTAAAATATATTTATTAAGCTGATCAAGTAAAATGTCAGCAAAATCTCACTACGAAACATTTTACAATTTTTTAGAAGCATAACAAAGCCTAAAAATTGCAAGTTTAAAATGTTTTCTTAAAATACTGTGCATGGTTAAAATGTCACTGAAATATATATAGAACATTTTAATAGAAAGGAACGTCCGGTACCCGTTAAAAAAAGATATCAAACAGAACCTTGAAAGCTCTGTATTCCAAATACCCGGTTAATTGATCAATCCTCTGAATCATTAGCCGAATACTCCCCCCTAGTTCAGAAGGAGAGGGCAGATTTAAAATACTATTCATGATCAAAATATTACTAAAATATATTGTATATAGAACATTTTAATAGGAAGGAATATCCGGTTCCCGTTAAAAAAAAATATCAAATAAAACCCTAAAGACTCTATATTCCAAATACCCGGTTAATTGATCGATCCTCTGAATCGTTAGCCGAATACTCCCTCCCAGTTCAGAAGCGGAGAGGAGGGGTAGATTTAAAATACTGTGCATGGTCAGATTTAAAATTCTGTGCATGATCAAAATATTACTGAAATATATTGTATATAGAACATTCTAATAGGAAGGAATGTCCGGTTCCCGTTAAAAAAGGATATCAAATATAACCTTGAAGGCTCTGTATTCCAAATGTCCGGTTAATTGATCAATCCTCTGAACGGCTAGCCGATTATCCCCGCCCAGTTCAGAAGTGGGGGAGCAGATTAAAAATAGTGTGCATGGTAAAAATGTCACTAAAATATACATATACATATAGTACATTCTAATAGAAAGGAATGTTCGGTTCCCGTTAAAAAAAATATCACATATAGACACGAAAGCCTTGTATTCCAAATACCCGGTTAATTGATCAATCCTCCGAACGGTTGGTCAAATATTCCCCCCCTCCCCCAGTTCGAGGGGGGTGGTGGGGCAGATTTAGCAGAGATTCGTGTAAGAAGCAAACGCGGATTCTTTCGTTGTACTTTCTTAACGTTTCTCCGGGGCGATTTACGGCCGGTGGAAAAGCACGTGTCACGGTGCGGAACGGTAATCGACCGTAGCGTCCTTGTCCGTCTCTGGTTTCGCATAAGTCGACGCTCGTCGCGGCGCTCGTGCCAGAACGGTCGCCGTTGCACGCTCATTCCCACGGCCCCGAGTGAACGCCGTATAAACACCGGCGTACACGTGCTCACGCGATGTAAGCGCCTGTGCACGCACTCCTGTCACGTGTGTCGTGTGTGCTGTGCGCGCTGTGTGCCGTCTGTGCCCCCCAACACGCGCACACACACACGCGCCTCGACGGGGCGCATACAGGAACGCGCGCGTGCGCCACTACCGGTTACGAGCGAGTAACTGATTTCTCCTTCGCTGCCAGTCTATTGCAGAAGTTATTGGTTTAGCGAATATCTACGTTACTTTGGAGTGCCATTTTCGGGATATTTTACTAACGGCACTCGCAACGTTTTCAATCACCTGGGATCCTTATAAATTTTTGGAGATTTTATAACCGAGCACCGTATATTTATGTATGTATTTTTATAGATACACTAGATGGATTGGAATTTAATTCATTTATCACCTATGATAAAAACCATTTTTAAACATCTTTTTGTAACAAATTATTACGTATAAGGTCCATAAAGTAATGTTTGATAAAAAAAGCAAACTATTACCTTAACTTTTAGTAATTGTTATGACCGTCCTTTTTCCCTATGACCTACAATTAGTTCTTTTTTTTTATTTCTGGACCAATCGAATCCCACTCTGCTATAATTTCTTCTGCAATTGCTCTTTATTTCTAGTGTTAAATTTTCTTATTCTTCTTGCCGTTTTATCCCACAAATGTTCAATAGGATTCATATCCGGTGATTAAGGTAGCATTTAATGGTCTCGGTGCATTGTAGAGTAACCTCTCTTCGTCACGTTTAGCGGTATTTATGTACTACCCGGGTTTCGGTTTCATTAAAAAAATTAATTTTTCTCTATTGTATTTTACGGTTTACTGTAATATGGTTAAATAGACATATTTATCCATTATATTATTGTAGGAGATTTGTACTATAAATATGTGCCGCATGTAATTTTATCTAATGTTAATTTATGTGCAAAATGTGTGTTTTGTTGAATAGATGTTATTGCTATACATTACCAATTTGTGTTGCCAATTGATAACTTGTGTTACAAAATTTATGTTAATAAGTTCATTCTTATAATTATGTTATTTATTATTCCATTTTCAAATATTATTTTCTTATCGATTAATAATTATATCTCTCATGCATCGCAAAACTAAAACACCATTCTCTTCATGTTGAATCAAAAGACATAATTGAACAATTAAAATAAGCATTTATTATATCTATTTTTATATTAATAAATATTTAAATATATCAAATAAAAGAGAAAGAAATATCGAAAACTTGTTAGTTTCCAAATTCCATGTTCCTTTGA